GGGACTTTGGCCTAGGTTTTCAAATCCTCTAAAGAGCTATAATACGGATTAAAAGCTCTGTGTTTCTGTAGAACCTCCTTGAATTTATTGGACAAAAGTAATGATGGCTAGTAGAGGATGTTATAGACATGATATCTTAGGAGAAAGCATTCCATTATGTTTACTCATCAGTCTGTTGTAAAGAGGTTTTTTATTTTCCCCACTTACTAGTTTACCAAGAGTATTGTCAATAGTTTACAGGCTGGTTCAGCCCGGTTCCGCGACCAGCAGGGCGGAGGGATTTTGCATAATCCGCACCTCCAGAAAAAGGGAACAGGGGACCCCAAAATAATTAAAGACAGCAGCAATGATCTGAGAAGAAACAAACTAATCTACTAAATATTGTATCAGAATGCAAGATAACACACTATAATACAATATAATTAAAATTGAAGCTAATAAATCAAATATAATGAGAGAGAGAATGTCCAGAAGGTGGATAGGCCTCACCACAACACTGAGGTGAGATGCACAGTCCAGTTGAGCAACAGGGAGATGGGAGGAGAGCCGATGAAGAAGAGCACATCAGGTGACCTTGCCAGGAGTCATATCTCCTCTCTGTGACCACAAAGTCCCCTGGGGAATGTAGTTCTCTTCTGGGCAGGTACCCAGAACTTGAGCATTAACAGTTGAACTCCCAGTGCCCCACGTGATGTTATGATGTGGAATACCGAGAACCAAAAATCACAAAACCATGACACACCAAGCTCAGTATTTTCTTATTTTTTGACTTTATCTGAGTTCTTATCCACTGCAGATCTGTATTGGTTTGTGTACACATATGAAATGCCAAAGTCCCGAAGATGTATATGAAAATAAAATTGTGGTTAGGTAGAGGGCTTCTACTTCTGTCCCATCTCCAGCTATGGTATTGGATTGGAGCTTTTGAGGGGAAAGTGATTTTCATTACTACTTTTAAATGAATTATTCTGTTATTGTCAAGTTAAAATGAGGTGTTGATCATGGAGTCTACCTTTAATATGAGATTGCTCTAACAGGCATGAACTCATTAATCATTCCGGAAATTTGCTTCAAAAGCTTGTTTATGAGCACTTTAAACTGAAGCTATATGATGGATTATGATGCCTTGTGGTCTTTCAAGTAGTGGGAATAAGGAATAAGTAGAAATACGCAGCATAAAGACCGACATGCAAACTGTAACTATTTGCTTTGCTTTCGTTAGGTAAAAAATGATTAAGCAGCAGCAGCTTCCTAATCACAAGAATTCTGAACTGCCTATCATGCCTGATAAGGTGCTTTTCAACAGGGCATTTGCATCTAGGCAATGGTTCATGCATGACGTCAATGCTATAAATAATAATTAAAAAAAAAAGGGACCTGACAGTATCAGAAGGTAGATATTTGTTGCAAAACTATGTTTATTTACCAAAGAATAGTACTATATACTTTCATCTGAATGGAACGTATGTTTTCAGATTCAGAGTAATCTTCCAATATACAGGTGAGAGATATTTAGTTCTTTTTTTTTAAGCATATACTTTGTATCTGACACCTAAATTGGCCGTTAGTTAGGTTGTGTTACTTTGTACAGCTCAATAATCTAAGCAAATACAAACCTTCTGTCTACTAATACTTCTTTCTTATTTTCAAATCTCTTTCATGGAAAATGTATTCTAGATGCTTGTATTCAGCGAAAAGTGTGTCTTAGCAGATTCTCTCCTGACTTTCCTACTGAAAAATGAAAGCACTTTGCTTTTGTGCTAATTTAAATAATTGAAGTAGCTATAAATGTAATGTTTATTGGTTCATCTGGAATTTTGATTCAATGGCTCAAAGTTAATTTGGGAAGTGGGCTAATTTACAATTATTAATTGAATTATACATATGACTCAGACTTGAGAAGGATAATTCTGCAGTTGGAGTTTTCAATGATTGTTTAATCAAGGTAAATATAAACATATAGTAGTGTCAGTGGTGCTGTTCAAATTTTTAACAAAAACAGTCTCTAGATGATAATTTAACTTTTTAATTCACAAGGACAAAACACTTCAAAGACGTATTTACAATAGATTACAGCATTTATGATGCAGTTCTCTTTAGGAAATTAGAGAGATTTAAGCTCCTAAACCCACAAGGCATGTCTGAAACTCTACAACTCTAAGTTGTAGAGAGGAGGCAGAGTTCTGTCCTGTGCCTCTAGCATGACCTGAGTGACACTTGCCTATCAGGGGAGATGGAAAGAAATTCAGGGGATTTGCACTGTTCTTGATACTGCAGTACTTTATCCTAGGCTGAGCAAACAACCATCTGGCATTAGGATTTATAGCTGACTTTGCTGGGAATAATTTCAGATGGAATTTCTTTAACAGAAAAGGTAGGCACGCTCTCTAGGAATGCTAAAATCCTTATAAGCAATTTATCAGTTTTGAGTTCAGTTATAAGTTTCTGTGGTAATTTCTGACTTTTCTTCCTCTTAAAGGGAAAACACACAACTCCACTGTTGCCACTTGTTTCTATATGCCACAAAAGTAATGATTGATTTATATAGTGGGAAATAAAATTATGTAAAATTCTGATGTTCCTGAACACCTTTTCTCAGACTTTGGATAGAGCATTCATATAAGCCAGGAAAGCATTCCTTTACATAATGCATGTTGTTCAAAAATATATTATGGTATGATATGAAAATTCAGGTAAGAGTATTCTTCGCCTTCTGTTTCTGGTTCACTTTATTTATTACTACTTTTGGCAGTTCCTTTATATCATCCTCTTAACGGATGATTTCTTTCAGAACCTTCTGAATTAAGTCCTTCACCTATTTGATTTCTTATTTGTCTTAATTTAATTATAAATATCACATGCAATGTAGTTGGGAAAAATGGAAGGATGGCAGAAGATACTATAAATATCATCAGTTTTGTTTTTTTTTTTTTTTAAATGAATGTCGATGTTATCCAAGCAACTACAAAACCCAAAGTGGCAAACGGATTGAAATTATTGTAAAATAGAATTAGTAGACATCTGGATAAATTAAAAAAAAAAAAAGAAAAGAAAAGAATCAACATGAACGTCGAGAATGAAAACTGTGTGACAAATGTAGAGAGCGTGAGTATAAAATGTTTGGACTTGTAAAATGCTTTGTGCAAAGTACCTTAGTGAAAACTAAATGATTTGCTGGTGGGAAGATCATCCATGGAATAGCAGCTGATCAAGAGATCCAAGTAAATTATCAGTATTTACAGGTAATGAAGAAAATGCTCAATGAGGTCCCACTGGATCTACAGAGACCCAAGTCCGGCTGTACGAACTAGTCACAAATTACAACAAGAAGGAAGTAATACTGAGGCAGGAAAGCTTTCAAAACATAAAAATCTACACAGCAAAATCACGACATGATAGGAAGGAAAAGAAGAAAGTTTTAGCCAGTGCTGAGCAGCTAGAAAATAAAACCTCTGGAGGCTTCCAGAAAGAAAAATACAAACCAGAGAACTTTAAATTGTTGCTAATCACAAAAGGGATTTGGGAGCTATTTGTATAGAAAACTCCATCGTCTGTGATGAGAAGAGACAAACTGAATATTACAACTATTATCTTATGAGTAGAGAACAAACCAGGAGAACATGATGATGCTATTTCACAAATCTCAAATAGATGTGTTTGTGGTCATTCATTTCAAAGACTAATGGAGTAGCACTAGAGAAAACACAGAGAAGGTGAATAACAGTGATCAAAAACTAGTAATGGTTTCCATACAAAAGAAGTGGAATAAAACATGCCATCTTTCAAAAGACATTATTAAAGGTAGGTATAGCTTAAAATTAGTAGTACAGAGATAGTGATTCATTGTTTCTCAGAAGTGCAAAACCTTATATACTAATTGGAAAAAAAAATGGAGAAAACACGTTTGTGGTTTTGTTTTTTTTTTTTGCATGTTACTTAATTGAATTGCTGAACTCATTGCTGGAGGGAGCTTTGGAAACCAAAAGTAGAGAGATTTGAAAAGGGATTACACAAATATTTGGGGAAAATGTCCATTTTTTGCCATTGAATTCAGTGATCTAAAACGCTTTAATAGCTGATTGTCAGGATTGCTTTTTGTCATTTTTTTTGCACTCTGTTTCAGAAAAGTTGCAACTGGTCACCATACAGAAAGCAGAAACAGATGGACCATTGGTCTGACCAGATCTTATAGTCTTTTGGTGGAACTTTTGCTTTGAGGGTATTCAGTGTCATGCTGAGACAACATCAGTTGAGCAATGTGAGAAGTTCAGTGTAAAAATAACATCCCTTTCAAAGTATTCTTTCCATTTTTATCTACCACCCCTCTCCACTGTGGCAAGCATGCCAACAGCTAAAAATACACAGGTCCATAAATAACATCAGGACCAATTATGTGCGGCAGTGGTTCACTTGTACCATAGTTGTACACATCACTTCTGTTAATCCATCTTACCAGTTCATAATTTACAGCTGCTCCTTCCAAGTACTCTGGTAATTGTATTAGCAGTGCCAGAAATACTGAAATCCAGCAAAGTCCGGCTTTGTTAGAATAAAAGTAGAACTCTCAATTCTTCAAAGATGCCTCACTAAACACATTCTCTTATGAGTTCACATCTAATGAAAAGTGAGGCCAATTAAATGGTCTCCTGGTCATTAGTATAGAAGCTTTACAAAGAGAGAAAGCCGGTTTTGAAATGAACAATTCCAAGCTATACAAATTAAAACTACCTTTTTTCCTCCTTGCACTATGTTAGTAGGCAGGAGGAATAGACTTTGCAGACGCATGTGCCAGTGCAAACATGCTACTGCATTTATTTATATGGCTGCCTTTGTTTTGAAACAACTAATTTATTTTCACAATGTATCTGTAGGGTAAACCTATGATAGCTGTGACTATCCCACAAGCATCGTGTATTTGTGATAATTCAGCATTTATTATAACACTGAATAGAGGCAGCATATGTGAGAAATCAATTCATTTTATTTCTCCAGTTCTAAGGGTTGAAGAACTTTGGATATCAGGAGACACAAACGATGAAGATGATTTTTCTCTTCTAAAATAACTGTTGGTAAGAAAGCTAAGCAGCCATTAGGTGGTGCCAAGAATTGATACAGAAAGAGAGTCTCTTTCTACCTTGTACATCCATATTTGCAAGATAACCAGGAGCATGGGTATACTTATTTAACTGAGAAAGCTGTCACCAACAGTCTACTGGTTTGTGACCAGCTTCATACTGGTGAGAGTGCAGAAATAGGTCAACTCAGAAAAAACAGATGCTAATAGAAAAAGTGCATGGGGTATATTTTTTTTTACACGTGTTAAAATTAGACTTGTGTTATTTAGATTGAATAAATTAAACTACTACTTTCTGTGTAATATCATGACCTTCCAGGGCTTTTATTTATCATTACAGAGTTTTGGGGGAAAAAAAATCCCTTAGGATTCCAGTGTTATTCTTCTATGAAAGAGCTGTTCGCTGCATTACTGTTACGAAAGTATTATTTCATTGCCATTCTGTATGCACCTCATGGTTAAAGGACTGCAAATTTCATTTGCTGGCAAGTTTTGTTTCACTACATGAAATGTATGAATTTGAGTTTAAACTATTATAATATGGAACAACCTGTCCTGTTTTTAAAATGCCAGTGAGCAACAGAACTTGTATCTAATATTAAACTCATATTTCTGAGGCTTTTTACCTAAATAAGACGTATGCTCTGTTTGTCTCTGATTAAAACTTAACACAAGCCTGTAGAAGTAACATGCATGTTAAAAATCTCTAAATTTCCATCACAGTGAACTAAAAGCTACTGATGTCTTCTGATCATGATATCTGAGCAGTGGCACATGGGAAGAGATTGCCAGAAAATCCTGAGACTAAAAGTTCCAGCCAAAGAATCATGGCCAAATATTAAATCACATAATCCATATGAGTAGTAAACATTTGTTGGCTCAGTTATCACTGCTGATGGCTAAGAATGGGGGGAAAAAAAGATCATTCATTTTCTCTGAAGGACTCCCTGGGAATGTGAACTGAAATATTTAGTATAGATGGATGAATTGCTTTCCTTTGCATGCTTTTTTCTAAATACGTAGTATTTCCTCTGCTGCATTATCCTAATACTAAGAAAAACTTTATCATCCGTTCTGCGCAGTTAATGTGAACGTACTCTATATCCCTTTATTTTATGGTGTATTTGTATGCAGGTAAACTACAGACTTCTATCTGAAGGAAGAGGAGATAGTTTATTCAGGGAAAATGTTTATAATGCAGATTCTGGCAAACTACATTATCATAAGGATTTAAAAGTAAGTCTTCTGTAATTATTCCACGGTTACTGAGCATACTTTAAAATGTATTATTTTAGCATCATTTATTTCATACATATTTGTCTTTGTCTGTAACTTACATTAATAATCAGCGTTTTGAAAAGCAGACTGAACAGTCCTGTCTGTACAATGACATGTTTGCTGGAGCCTACTTTCTTTCAATTAAGACCTTCTGGTTATGCATCATTAGAGGATACATATTTTTATATCAAGTTTGGAACGATGAGTTGATGTAAAAATCTGAATATTCTGTTAATGGAGATATGGACACTGAGACAGATCAGGAATTAAAATATAAAATCAAGTAACTTCAGTGTAAACATTTAAATCATAGTCATTAATGAGGAAAGCACCTGTGTCAGAGTTTCCACTTCAAATCTATTCTTATCGCTGCTGCCAGAAGTACTGATAAGATGTCATGAGTTAAAATAGAAAGGCAAGAGGGGATATCTTTGCACCTACTTCTCTCCCTACGAGAACACCGTTGTTAAAATAACTGGTATAGTGTGCCAGTTGTGATCATTCTGAAATTGTAAAACATGTGGGAGGGGGAAGAAAAAAAAGATTTTTTTAATCAAGAATTTTTAAGTATATTTCACTGTATTCTGGGACTAAAAAAATTAGGAACTTAGGCTATGAAATCAGCCGGGACTGACCAAAGGAATTCTTGGCTGAGCAGCTGGGTCATCTATGCCTAAGTGCAAAAGGAAGTTGCTTAGGCCAGAAACTCATAGGGGCAGCAGAGGCACTTCCCCAAGAAAGCTCCTTTAGTCCCTTGTCTCTGCACTCACTTGGCTCTAGTGTGCATGCCCCTATTCCTGCTTCCATGCTGTTGAAAAGAAAGGCTCTTGTGTGTGAATTTATTCTCTCCAGAAATGCAGTGTAGGAAGTTGGCGATACAGCTTTATTTCTCCCATTCCCTTTGTTTCTTCTCCTTGGATTTTAATGGTATCTTGGTCTGGGCAATGAAGTTGGGTCCCTTCAATGCTGATCTTTTTGGTTTCCATAGAGTCTTTCAGGAATTTCAAAGTTTTTTTCTTTTCAGGAGGAACAATTTTTGCACTGGATAATGCTTTCTTGTCAAAGCAAAGAATGCTGTCAGGGCTCTTACAGAAAATTATTGAAATTTTTAAAGTTTGGCATTTTGGGATGTAAAAATATTAATGGAAACAATAAAATGCAGATGAATTTTTGAGTCTTAACAAAAGCATTTTTAAGAAGCCTGAAAATCATTCTACTTTTTCCTTAATATCAGAAATGAAATAAAATTCCTCACACTTGCAACTTACTGTGGGACAAAAATCCTAGGTTTAGGCCTGGTGTCTGACTTGTAGAAAATATTATTTTGAATTCCTCTACACCATGTAAGGAAAGTGTCATTAGTTTACTCTTAGCTTTTGTATTCAGAATTCAGTGAGGAAACTGAGCTAGAATCAGTTATCATGGTTTTTCCACAGATTCTTAAACTTTATAAAAAGTCATCTCAAGCTGAATGCAGCTGTACCCTGGCTGAGAAAATGTCTTCATTGTCAACTTTCTCAGACTGTATAGAGAAGGTAAGAAATAAAGCTGAAGTATCAAAATGATTGTCTTTTAAATTCTGGTACTTAGCTGGATACCCAACCAGTATTTGAGAAGAACTGCAGGTGAAAAATGTGTTTTAATTGGACTGTAAAGGAGACATTCCAAACCATTATTTACAAGGCTTGAAAGGCGTAATGAATGTCTGAAACAACTAGGTCAGTTCTTCCTTTAAATTTATCCACATAATATATATATTTTAGTTTCCACGAATGAAGCATTCAGTTGTAATGTTTCCAATCAAATTCACACTTACATATTTCAAGTTTATTACAAATCTAACATCTCCTCATTTTGTCACAGTGATTGAAGTCAATCACAGGACAGGCTGGGAAGTCAAAGGTAAGGATAAGGTAAATTTAATGTTATAGAACAATTCTGACACTAGTGAGTCCATGGCAAAACCCAGTGATGTCAGTAAAATCAGGAGTGACAATCTTAGAAGATCATGTAGATAATCATTGTGAGGACGATCATCTCATGCATCTGCTTTGTATAAGGTTCCAAGATTCCTACTCATAGTGGATGCTGCTGTAATCTCAGTGTAAAAAAAAAAAAAAAAATTGTGACATTATACATGAGGAATGTCATGGAAAACACCATGATGGTAATTAATGTTTTTAAGATAATAATTATACTGACTCAAATAGTAAACAAATAGAAAAATTGCTTAGTTTAGGGAATATACTTCAATAGAATAGCCAGAAGTTGTCAGGAGTTGCTCAGTGCAATGATGTGAAGCTTCTGTGTCACTTTCCCCACATCCAGCCAGTTGCAAGGCTTAACATACCTTTCCAACAGATGTATGTGCCCACGTGAATGTATTTATAAGCATGTATGCATAAATGCATAAAAACAAATATATGTAGGCATATATGTACATACATATGTAGGTATACATATATGTGTGTATACATACGCATACAGGGCAGGTTGCAGAGAAACTCATGATATTCATGCAAATAAGAACATTGATGGCATGATCCTGTTCACTACCTTCGCTATGGCTTGTGGCTGTAGTGGATTCTTTATATATTATTTTGCAGTATTACTGGAAATGATTTCCCCTATGCCTACGAAGTGGCTAGACTCAATGAAATGACACAACTTTGTTCAGGAATCCCCAAAAACCCTTGCTGGGAAAACTTGAGATAGTGTTTGCAGTGTGAAGAAAGGGCATAAACTGTGTGGACAAACAATGGGCTGATATATGCTGATTGATAGGAATGACTTTCAAGTCTGTATGGGACACGAAAGAGAAGAACACTAAAAACAGTGAGAAAGCATTTAGCTTGAGGAGGGAAACAAGTTGTGTAGGATCTTTCAGGTGTATTTTAGTCCTAGAGCAGGGGATACAGTATAGCAGAAAACTGAGTCAAGAGGTGGGTACAAGCAGAATGACAGGTGAGAACATAACCTAATTTGTTTGTGCTGAAGGGAAATGGGAGAAATGCAGTAAAGTGAGAAGAGGAAGCTGCATAAGTGGAGGAAGGAGACGATCATATTTGGATCCATTCTTTCCTAGGTGACAAGATCAGGGAAGGGATTTAGAGCTGATTCATGTGATATATAAAAGTTAATAGGAATGCACCCCAAATTATTGGGATTAGGAGAAGTGAGAGGAACACAGGAAGTCAGGAAGAGATCAAGGCTGCAGCTTTACTGACTGGAATTAGTCTTGCTTTCCTTTGTTTTCAGTTGCTCTAGTGTTCTTATAAAGCTCCTAAACACTGTAAGATCTTTAGGTGACCAGTTCTCTAGGGTGGCAGTGTCTCCAACAAATGCTTGTTTGTAGCAGGCAATTCTGTTTGCCTCGTATATAGGCACTAAACTGGCTGTGGTAAATATATTTGAAATACTAGAGAAGGTATTGAAGTCAGCGAACCTCAAACATTTATGGAGGCTAATAGAAATCTGGAAACACCAAAAGTCTAACATGTACCAAATGTGAGGAAAAAATTAGGCTCGCACATTTTCCATGTTCTGCTGCACAAATGTGAAGAATGCATCTGATACTCCTGCTGCTGTTAATATACTACATTCACCACATGAGAGGGGAGATGGCTTGTTTTATCCATCTTACCCTACAATTCTAGACTCCCTACAGCATCACCCCATGCAACTTTCTTGGTATGCTGAGGCAGCAACTGACCCAAAGATGTCCATGACTGCCCAGGGAAGTGGTTGAGTCACCATCCCTGGTGGTGTTCAAGGAATGCTTGTACTAAGATGTTGTACTAAGGGATGTAATTTAGTGGTGAAATATTGCTGATAGGTGGGTGGCTGGACTGGATGATCTTGGGGGTCTTTTCCAACCTTGGTGATTCCATAATTCTATGCTCAGTATAGGCAGCACCTACAGCTGTCTGCAGGGAATGACCTTGTTTGGTAGTGGGTCTCAAGATTGTCCAGCACTGATGATGCAAGATCAGATTGAGCTGGAGCTTATGGATAGCATGGTCCATGCATGACATCATGTTTTTTTTTCCAATTCTTTCTTGTGAAATTTCACTTAATATATTTGGGCAATCTCTTACAGTCAGCAGCATGCTCTGCTCATCCTCTAGCATTGTATTAGACACAGGATTCCAAACAATCCCTCTGCCAGGATGAATGTAATCTGTCAGGTAGTGGCAGACAAAACTCAGTGCCTTGCCGGAAGCGGTTAGGGAAAAGTTAGGGAAAAAAATTACTAATTTTCTATCCATGAAAATCAGAAGCGATATTAAATGCATTTAATATATCTGAGAAAAAATTAAATATATTTTTAGGGGTTTTGTCTTCTAAATTTACAGGCATTAATGAAGCATCAAGTATTATAAATGTAAGAGTTTATTTAACAAAAATGCTCCAGACTACAGTATATAATCCAGAGTCAATGTTCTTAAACATATATGTAAGTTTTATAATTTCAAATTAAAATAGTTATTTTGAACAGAAATGAGTACAAACCACACTTCCAGATCTAAATACCACTTGCCTTTGAGGCAGTTCTGATAAGAAATAATTTAAGTTTTGGGCCCATACCTAGATGGGGTAATTTTGAGGGTTTATATTTTGTGTATCTTATAATCTTGAAAGGTAGTGGTTTCAGAACCCACGAAGGAAACTTTTGATAAATCTTTTGTATATTTTCAGGCATCTTGCTAAAAACCTTGTCTTTTTCAGCCCAACCATTTATTCTATATGCTGTTAATTAAATGTTTTGCCTTAAAGTATTACTCATTTATCTGGGTGACTATATTTGGCATTTAGATTTTAGAAGAATAAGCAAACCTTATTTGAATATTTCAAACAATTGATTTTGAGCCCCCTAAATGCCTCTTAGGGAAGCTGGAATTCTGTAATTCTTACTAGAATTGCAGTCTAAGTCCACAAAGGTGTACTAGGTGAGGGTTGTGATGATGAGACTATGTTTCCTGACACAGAATGTGGACCTACTGCCCAAACTAGAAAATTACTCCTTTACTTCAATCTGACTTAAAAGGAAACTTTTATTATCAATCAAAAAGAAACAAAATCTGTAGGGGAAATGGGTACCCAACTTTTGGTCTGCTTAATAGCCACTGTCAGACCTTTCGTGAGCGCCAGAATGCAAAAAGCTGCAACTAGACAAAACTGTTAGTCAGATGAAGGTCCTTTTTAAAATCCTATTCGATTGCTTTGAAGAGCAGCACAGGCAAATTCCTTTCTAGCCTTATTTTTTTCTTGATTTTTTTATACGCAAAATTCAGCAATTCTTATGGAATTGATTGATCATGGTGTCAAATGCTTCTGCTCAAGAAAGCCTACATTTTGTTTAAATGTCTAGGGTTTTTTTGTTTTGGGTTTTCTTTTGCAAAACAAATAATCCATCGGTGACTTTTCTTTTTTTTTTTTCCAAAGGGATTAGAGCTCTTCCATTTCAAAGTATCAGCTACTCCTGATCTTTCCCATTGTCAACTATACAGTGAATTTCCGGTACCAGAAGTAGGCTGTAACCTGTGTCATTTACAGTCTCATTTTTTCACTGTAGTTGAATTTTATTTAAAAATAAGAATTACTGTATTAGAATAAGGAACTCCTGAAATGCATATAATTCTAGCTCAGCTTTTTATTTACAAAATACCATGTTGCCATGATACAATTGTTATCTACTATGTGAAAATATCTTTCTTGAAATTCCATAGTTGAAATTACTTTCCTTTGATGATCATCCACCTTCCAGCTTGCAACCTAGCTATTCTGTTCTGAAACAGAAATGAGACAAAATATCTGCTGAGCCCCCTTCCCCCCCACATTGTTTCCAAGAGAAAATGACCATGCTCTTCTACTTCTGTGCTGAGAATAATTTAAATTTGTATTAGAAATAATAAATTCCAAGCTTTGAAACTTTGATATAAAATTTCAGTAGTAACAGATATTTCAAATGCTTTCTGTTTCAGATTTATGTTGAAGGTACTTGGGTCCTTTGGGAACAACTTATAAGTACTATTGAATCATTAGTTTTTCTTTACAGTAGGGATTATTATCTTCACAGCATTTCTGAGACAACATTATAGTGGAAACTTATAGAACAAAGAAATATAGATTCAGGAGAATCAACACAATATCACCATTATAAATTTTGAATACTGCAACTGCTACTTCTGCCCACCTGGAGGAGCAGTGCTTTCAAATGAAGTACAAGAAGTTACCCAAAAGATAAACTTCTTTCTCTGTATATGGAACATATATACATATACATATGTATATGTGCATGTGTATACATGTGTATATGTACATATACATATGTATATGGAACCTCTTACAGATGCTTTATGTTATTTTAAAACTAACTCCTGATTTTTCAGTGACTAATTACTAATCTTCTTCTCAGGTTTTAATGTACGCAATTTTTCCATTAGAACTTAGTTATAATTTTGAAACTGTTTTTGAAATTCCCAGATAGTAAATGTTTACAAGACGTTTTATGCAGACAGTAACAGAAAATGTAAAGAATTATCTTCTCATCTTAACTGCTTCTAGTCAGTACTACACACGAGGTAGTGAAGAGATAGCACTGAAGTACAGTCTTACAGATTCTCTGATGTTTATTTTCTCAGCTTCAGTCACCAATTAAAACCATAAAATCTTATAAATAAATCCTGTCAATTAGCTGAAGCAATTGTAACTCAATATTTAATAATTATTAAGTAGTTTCTATACAGTGATAAGCTGTAGTGATGATTAATGAAATAGTGTGGATGTAGTTAGAAGTGTGCACCGTCTTTGGTAACAATGTCCAAGTGTGCATTTGAACTCCTACTCCTATTGGTGTGCACTATGCAGCCACACTGTAGAGGCCTTAAGGCCTGCAGCATTCACTGCATTCACACCACGCTTGTACCATCATGTACTCGGGTGTGAAAGTTGCCACAGCCCCTTTGTGCTGCTACCGTCCTTACTTGCATGCACACCGTTCCCAGCCCCCGTCCTCCTGTCCATCTGCTGGTAACCTCCCACATGCCAGTAATGCCTTTGCCCGTTAGTCACAGGTCTCAGACTAACTTCTGCTCTGAAGTTACTCCTGCTCTCTTTGAAGAGCCTGATAGTAGATTGGCACATAGAGCTGGTATGTTTGACTTCAGCATCCCTGTCCCTTTCCAGTAGAGTCCTTTAAGGAGGTATGAAGACAGACCTTTTGTTTTGACCATACAGCTCTGAAGCTGGAATTATTGTTCCTTTGTTATGTACTGGAGAAGACATTTAGCAATTGACCCTTGCTGACACTTGTCATGCCTTTGAGGAAGTTATGGACGTCTGCCACGTCCTATCCCTGGCAGGAGCCATAAAGGAGCCAGTGTGTACAGAAAATCAGGGAACCAAGGAGGGAATGTATATGATCAGGAGGACTTCAGCGTTACTATTGAGGCATGCCAAAACAACTTGGGTTGTATTTCTAGCAAAACTCTGTTTTTGCATTTTGCCTAATTATCTTCACTTTTGGCTAGAGAAGAGATGCAGTGTGAAGACAGTGTGCATTTCCTGCCCTAAATACCAGCCTCTGTTACTGCAGAACTCATCCACAGATTATAGAGCTGGATGCCAGCTTCTCACCTCTGCTTGGTAGCTTTGTATGCAAAATGGAAAGTGCTAGTGCAGACTTGGATGATGACTAAAGTAGCCTTTCTCATAGCAGGATGTGTTTCTGATCTGCCTGCTATTTACATTACCTAGCTGCAGCTTGTATCATCATTTGCGCTCTGTGCAAGTCTGGATTTGCATTTTAAGGCCATCATTGTCACGAATGTTAAAGTGACTCAATTTTTTAGTATAATGGCTGATTCTGAAATGCTTCCTTCAAAAAGCTCAACTCAATTTCCTCCTTTTTTTTCCCCTAAACTTTTTTTCATGTTTCTGACATTTTATTATTAACATGCAATATTATTAACATGCATTAATGCATATTATTAACATGCAAAAGTACTGTTAGTTCCACCAGCTTTTATCCAGAAAACTGAGCATAAATTTACACAGGTCTAGTCCAGTTATCCCAGAGAGCTAGTGTAATTAAAGTATCGAGCTACTGAGACTCTGTATGTGTGTTTACAGACAAGTGTCTATGTGCCTCCGTCCATATACCTGTCTTGCATTGCTCTGACCACGTCCCTTCTCTTCCCCTGTCCTCCTTGTGATCCAAATTCATTATGTATTTCTTCTCCACATAAACTGGTAAAAGTTTCAACAGTTCCCACCCCATTCCAGGATGGGAATGAGGAAGTTATTTTAATAAAAAGTTATTTTTATTAAAAAAAAAAACAAAACGGTATAGCACTAGTTACTAATTTTTAGGTGATGAAGTAGAGACATAATAAGAAAATTGAGGTATTTTTTTCTGGTGGACTTTCAGAGCTTCTTGGGAACGAGTTTAACGACATAGATCATTAGCAGTGGGGTTGGACTAGATGGTCTTCAGAGGTCCCTTTTCAACCCCTTTGATTCTGTAACTTTATGATATGTGATCTCATATTTCTGCCGCTCTTGTCCATCATTTTCTCAAAAGACCACCAGTTGTCAAGTCTAAGAGTTGTAGTCCAACCAACCGTTGTAGTTCAAGTTACAGATAAAGTATTGGAAATCTTGTACAAAAAAAATGAGAGGTGTACATGGGAGCAAAAGTTAGCAATAAGAAGTCTGCCACAGAAAAAGGAAAAAAAATATGCCATAAGATCTTACTAATGAGGGTTAGAAACACAGCCAAAAGGCACAATAATAAACATAAAAACTGAACAATGCACTGTGGAGAGACAGCTAACATAATTCAGATGTCTCCATTCCCCCTTCAGAAAAAAGGGGAATTTTCACTATCAGATAAACAAATGACCCAAACACATTTTCTACATCCAACAGCTTCAGCAGTGCTTTGAATTCTTCAGTCTTTGATGATCAGGCCTACATATTTAGATAACTGTAGCATTTTTCCAGAGGGGCATGAAAGAATTCAAAACAAATACAGCCTTTGCATGACTATGCAGTTGCACAGAATTCTCAAAAGGAAACTGCTTGCAAGATCAGAGCCTTTCCAGCAATGTGAAAATTAAGATGTTAGTAGGGGTTGAAAGAAAAGAGATGACATTTCTGTTGAGGGGATTCATACGTGCATGATGCAGGAAAAAGTGTTACAGAATTTTAACTGCTGACATACCCAGGCTCAGATCTGTGGTTTAGGCACAAAAACAGGGTTACTGCTTCTAGGGGTTTGGTGGAGGGATATGAAAACTGAGCACTAGCATGTGAGACATGATTCATAGGGCATGTGCAAAACGGTGCATAGTGCAGGAATCTGAGATGTTGTAGTGAGCTAGCTCTGGATCTGCAAAGGAACAAAGTTACTTATATGGTCCTTTTTCCAATTTCTTGAGAACTTTTAACAGGAAAGACAACAGAATTAAAGAGCATGGCATTAAAGCTATTTTTAGTCCTGATGTTACTTTCTTACACAGCTTGCAAGCTTACGATATACCTGAAGAGTACTAGATCTCACGCACACAGCATAATGTACGAAGTTTGTTTTGGGTTTCTTCTTCACTGTGCAGCCTAGCTTCTTTCAGAGCTGCCTTTGCATGTCTACCTGTAGGCATAAGCTCATATTTGACTATCTGAATGCTCCTATTTAGAAGGTGTACATCACAGCACATCCAAGACATCCCTAGCTGGCCACAGCTCATTCATCAGCCCTTGAGTCTGTCTACTGCTCTGAGTTTTAAGGCAAAGTGTCACTGTTTTCCTTAAAAATACGGTGGTGACTGCATTCAGTAGGCCAACCTGTCTGTTTCTAACCATTCAGTCCTGAACAGTATTTGCAACTCTTTCAGGCTCTCTGTGTTACAGTTTTTATTCAAAGAGATTTTGCATTGAATTTCTAATTGTTATAACAAATCCTAAATAGCAGCAGTCCTACTTTTGGTTTCTGTGTAGTCATCTACCATCATCTCCCCTGACTGATGATTCCGTTGGAGCTGTGCCTATCTCCACACATCAGTCTCATGCAGTGTGAGTCTTCTTGACAGATTACACAGCCAAGCTTCCAGAAAAGTATCTGAGAACAATCCAAATATATTATACCTGCACCTTCATCTTCATGAGCAACTTTGTAATTTAACAAGAAATAAAATACACTTGACAAATTCTTTTTCTATAAAGTCACATCAGCTGCTACTGCTGTACTGCCATTTCATAACTCGTTATGTCCTGCATCAGCATTTGTTGTTGGTTTTATTCATGACAGATAAATTAGTTTGTTATTATCTGCGTCTTCAGTTGTCCAAATTGAATACTTACAGTCAGTTTTCATGACTTACGGAATTCCTGCAGTAATTAGAGCTTTATTGGAAATGTATATGATTTCATACTCCTTTAATACTCTCAAATTGAAGTTCTTTAGGACTCACATACTTTAGAATGTGCCCATACTAATAATGACAAGGAAGGTACTCGGTCATTTTGATATGCTGTAAGTCCATCATACGTTTTTTCAATGATCGAATAAAACTGTTATCTGTATCTATTTAGATATATTGGCCTACAGTACTGTTAAAATTTAGAAAATTAGAATTATTCCTAAAATTACCAAGCACACTTGTTCTCATCCATTTTTCTGTGCTTTATAACTTTTCTTATAATGATTGCTGTCTTTTCTACTTGTACATCTTTACTTCTGACTGCCGTGTTTGCTTCCCCACAAAACTAGAAATGCATTTTGCTGAATGTCTTTTTTCATGACAACATCCGGGCTTAAATCACTCAACTTCATTTTTACTCCTGCTGCTTTGACACATTTTTTTTCTATCTAGTTTTTCTTCTCACTCAGTCATTCATTTTCTGCAGCAAGGAGAAAGACATCGCCAGTGTCCACTTGTGTGTTATCCACATGCTCAGGTGAACTCCTTCAGGCTGGTAATTACCTTATCTTTACCAAAATAAATTCTGAAGTTGTAAATTTCTCCAACAGGACATTTTTTTCTTTTTGTCAGAAAATCATGAGCTATGATTTTTAAGAGCTCTAGTAATCTTTTACTGCTTAGCTCCAAGTTTACTGCTTAGCTTCCAAGCTCTGAAGTTCCACACAATAACAATGTAATTTTTCTTGTCAAAATTACTAGTGAGTGTTGAAAAATGTTCTTTAGTCCTACTGACATGCAGGTAGCCCTCACTATAAAACTCTTCTTAGGC